ATTCCTCACAGATATTGAAGGAAATCATACAGAATCACTTTTATATGCTTCCTATTTACCCTAATCATTAAAAATAAGCAATGTTTTTATTTTTTTATGTTTTTCCTTTTTGTTTAGAATACAGCAGAATCCTACAGAATCTGCTTGTCTTTGATAGAAGAGGAACAGACCAAAGGACAATTCATCCCCCGCCATGCATACTGCTTCGCTGTAGCATTAGCTCTAAAACGGGTGGGTTTAACCTTCTTTGCGATCTTCTTTGTGTTGCAGAGGTTTGTGGTATTTTTTTTTTAAGTCCCTTTTTTTTCTTTTGTTTCTTTTTCCAGAACAATCTAGAAAAGGCAAAGTATATGTACTCACAAATTATGAGCAGTGACAGCATATTGTGCCAGAACTTAAAGGTAAATATGATGCACAGAATTCAGTTAAATCTAGCCTTAGTTTATTTGTTTTTAAAGTTTATATATATCTAATTATTACTTGCGTTACAGATTATGATTCTAGCAATGTCCGGAGAAATCTTAGAGGCTCTTTCTATCCTGTCAGCAGCCATGTTACCCAAAAGTCCATTTTTTGTGAAGAAGACAGAGTTTGCCCAGGAAGTGGTAAGTGATTACAAATGCTGATTAAACAAGAGAAGAGCTTATAAATACTCATTATAGTGTTCACTAATTAAAAAAACAACAACAGTGTCTCTCACATTTTTTAAAATACAACCACAATCTTAAGTGAAAGCTGTTTAAATGTTATTAGATAGAATAACCAAAAATTGTGAATATTTGAAAATGATTAATGGATTTTAAAGGTTTTTATCACTTGTATCAAAAATCAGTTGTGTGCATCTCTTTAAGCCCCAACTTAGTCAATAGTCTGTTGAACCATCTTTCCAAAACTTTTTGGATTATATGATTTGCACATCTAGAAACTAAGGCTTCTGCCATTATTGATAGTGAGCCTCTGGGAACATCGATTTTAGAGTAATGCTACATATCTGGGTCCATGTCATGGTTGATTTTGTTTGAACCGTTCTAATACATTAATATGGTTCAACTTTAATCATTCCAGGCAGTGATGCTCCACCTGAGTCTCTAGGTTTTTCTCTAGAATCTAACAGATTTTCTCCCAGTTTGCTGTAATCTGGCCTACAAACAAATCCCAGTATTACATTAAGCTGCATCATTTTCTTCCATCAGCTCTGACCAACTAAACACTTCATCATGCAAATCAAAAAGTATCAATTTTGGTCCCAAAGAGCTCACCTTGTTCCACATTTTTGCTCGGTCCAATAGATCATTAACTCCCAAAGTTAGAGTCTTTGATCAACCAGTATAGGATATTTATATCCACTACAGAAATTACACTAAATAACAAATATTTCTGTTACTTCATGTGCTTAAAAATCTAAGAGCATAAGTTAAAAATTGACAAAACAAGCTACTTTTGTTGCTCCTGCCATTTGTAATGTTATTAAACCCATGATTAATTGACTTTTTAGAATGTATGTGCAGTATTTTTTTTTTTTTTCAACCAATAGTTTGGGTCATGGGTTGACTCTGGTTAGAGTTTGTGAGTCAGAAGCTGAAAGGTTTGAGAATCTTTGCCCTAATTGACCTGCAGTAACCTCTAAAATGAATGTCTCATGGCTCTTCTTATTCCTCTTCCATGTAGGCCACAATTGTCACATAACATTCATTAAAGGTTTTAGGTTGTAAGGTCACAAAATGCGTGAGGTTTTAAAGAGAAGGAATATTTTTTGGTCACACTCTGCTGATGTTTTTAGGTGGATTTACTCCGTCTGAGGAGTGAAGGTAGACCACTCGAGATGAAAGTCGAGCAGATAGTAGCTCAGCTCCAAAGGGCCTCTCAGGTGACTCAGCAGACCCTCGACGATATGCTATGCCGTGCCCCGACGGGGAAGAGGAAACCAGCTCTAATGGAGGAGGAGAGGAGGACCAGCCGGAGAACTTTAAGGCCCCTGCAGTCCAATCTGTTGTCAGAGTGACGCCCAGTACCAACACTTAAAATCAGCTTTCTCACTAAAGGATGAACTAGAAAAGTTTAATGCCACATTGAAATATGAGCTCTGTTACCAGCACAATCATGAAAGCCAGTGGTGTTTACCTTACATGTATTAAATGGGCAGAGTAAGATAGAAATAGATACTTTAATCTTGCCAGATTAAGCAGCTCAAATCTCTTCTATTGCATTGTAAAACTTCCCAGGTTGAACCCGAGCTTATTGCCATGAAAAATGAAAGCATTGTTGGTTATTTAAAGCTATTCTTTACCTCTAAGAGGTATAAAGGAATCAGATCACTACTCTGTAGTCATATACTGTGCATCCAAATTACCTCTTTCTAGCCAACTCTTTACTGGATTGCTTGGTCTTCAGAGAAGTATTTTACTCCTTATTTACCTGTTCTCTTTACACATTTTAAAATCATCAAGAGAACAACAATATTTGTGTTACATTGCTGCCAAGAATCCCATGTTAACATAACAGTGATTTAGGAGGGCTGTGTGTTGTATATTCTGTATAGATGTGTGAAGGAGTGACTCAAGGTTTGTCAAATATTTAATAATAAATTGTTTTAAAATAAAGAGAAGTAATATTAAACCTCTCTCTTTTTTTGGAATCAAAATGCTGGGTTTGACATCATATGTAGAAGATGGGTTACTGCAGAGTAATAATTGTCAGCCAGCACCTTATGTACAGAAATGTAGTCAGTGTTTATTGTAAAATGAACATTGAAATTGTAGAGCTGATGTCACAGAGATAAGTACATTTCTGATTTGTAAAAACATTTTTAAACCTGAAACATCACTGATGCTTTTGTGATTGGATTGGTCATGATTATCCAGAAACTGACTGGCAAAACCTTAGAATGAAACATATATCTTGTTATATTTATAATAATCATTCAGATGTGTTCACTTAAAAAGAAAAAAATCTTTATTTGACAATTTGGGGATATTTTCTGTTGTGTTTGGGAGAATTGTAATGTAATATCCATGAAAACTGCCAACATCTGCTTGTAATGTATCTCCATTTACAAAACAAACAAGGACACTTCTCCAGTGGCAGCTAATCTGACTTACAGGTAACATAAAAAAAAAAAATACAGAACCTGATTATTTTCATACGATGAATAGGATTTTTCCTTTCAAAATACTTTAAAATAAATCTGGTTCTGAGAATACCTTCATCTTATCAGCATGCGGTACAATTAAAGTTGAACTATTTATATAATAGCGTAATGTTGAAGCCATGAATGTATTATTTGGCATCTAATTATAAGTCAAGTGTGTTTATCAACATATTTTTATACTAGTTTAGCTATTTGTGGTTTATAATTATGTGTTATACTTAAAGATCACTAACCTCTTTTTGTTGCCATATTTCAGATTTTCAAAGTTTTAAATATTAACACTCCAACATGACATATTTCTGGGGAGCATGGCCAGTTCTGCAGTTACCCAAAATACAAATCCAGTATTACTGTTAAGAGTAATAAAAACAGTTGGTTATAGCTGCAGGACATAGATTTTACCAGTCATTTAGCTACTGGATAACAATGATTATTATACTCTATAACATTGCTGGTCTGTCTTCATATACATACATTTCTTAGAAATAATATAAGCTTGCATTGCCTATGTAGTAAATGTTCACTTCGCTTTTAAGATATCAAACTGGTGGTTTGTGTCTTATAAAGGCATAAGATGTGAATCGGGATGTGACTGATGATGCGTGATGCAATTTTTGACCTCAGCGTCAAATGGAATGTCAAAATTTGTGTTGTAACTTTAAGATTTTGTGACTTTTAGAAACTGAAAGTATATTTAGGATTACCTACGTTAACCTGGAAATAAGTCTTGAAAGGTGAGGTTTTCAAACCGCACTGAACTCACAATCCAGAAATGCTGCATAGCATGGAGACAGTTAGCTCTGGTGTACCATCTTCTCTTTTACAATAGTAGCTCAAATCTATCTGAAGTGTTGATTAAAGCAGTTTGTTTGCAGGGGCGGAGCTAGATGGGGGGCCAGTCTCGACAGGAATATTCAAAACATTTTAATTTTTCATACATTAACATTTTCTTGACAACAAAAACACTGGTTAATTTTGGACATCAATATACTGTCATTAAAGATGTCAGAAGAGAACTAGATGTTGTGTTATATGGGGTAATGAGAAAATGATTTGTCTCTGCAAATCATATAGGAGTATTCATTGAAATCATAGATAACTATGATAACTATTATGTAGATATTACTAGTTGTCATTATATTATGTTTGCAGAATGATTATTGATAAATGTAACTAATGAGAAAAGAAAAGATGTTTGCCCCAGAACTCAAATCTGAAAGAATTGTATCCACTATATCTTTATCTAGGAAGATGTTTAAATATATGCGTCTATTTTTTTAGCTAAGGCTGTAAGAAAGGATATTTTGTCTTTATTTAGAAAATATGGATGTTCTGCTCATTAATTTTCCTGTTGGAAAGGTGTAGATTGACCCTGAGGTTCTGGCACCGATCCACTTTTGGCCACCCCTCAGTGTAGATCGGTTTTTGCCTGCCCACCCTCATAGAAATGTTCTAGCTACGCCCCTGTTCGTTTGAGGTCAGCATCTCCCCAGCTCTTGATAAAAGACAGCTCCTAAGTAAAAACATAGAAATGTTGTATGCAGTATTTATATAAAGCCCAGCTAGTTCCAAAGGTGTATTTGAACTCAAATGGTTCGTTTCTGTGTCTTGATCATGGAAATGTTTACTAATTTGACACGTTTCCAATGACGTCCAGTATTATATGAGTGTTACGCGGTAATTAGAATGATTAAATATTTACATTTAACAAAAAAACGAGTAATGCAATTATTATGAATTTATGTTTTGAATGTATTTCTATTGCAGCGAGCATAATAGTAGGAAACCCATTTAAAGCTACATATACAGATGTGGAGACATCTGTAAACAAAGACTGACGCATTTTAGACTCCTCCCAAAAGTACCGCTGTGCTGACGTAGCAGAGCTCCCAGCGCGAGCAACAAAGCAGAGCTGCTTTTATTTATCTTAACCCAATCTAATAGATTTTCTATCCGTTGTAATAAAGTTTTGATATTTAGTTTATTGGAAATTTAAGTGGAAGGATACATGCAGTGGTGGCATCTTCTCCTAGCGGCAGCTGGTGGCGATGCTACTCCATAGTTAGCCGGGGTTAGCTAGGTCCGGGTGACGGGGAGAGAGGACCGTGGGCAAAAAGCAGCTGATTATCGACAGACGAGGGAAACAATATTAATATTTTTAAAAATAGCATAAAAATCTGGAATTTGGTTTGTTTTTTCAGTAGATGGGATATTAAGGTAATTACCAGCCCCTTTGTCGCTAAGTTAAAGTAGCTGATCTCTGACTGAGGGAGCAGAAAACCCGCTACGATGAGCTCCGAAGAGGCAGCAGCGCCCAGCAAAGCCGCTCCGGATGAAGATGGCATGACCTGGTGGTACAGATGGCTCTGCAAAATCGCCGGGGTTTTAGGAGGAATATGTAAGTAGCTGTCAGAGTCCGTGTGCTCTCTTTAACTTTAACCTTTCTCATTATAGCTGGTGTTCTTCTCGATTACAGGCTCTTTTTTTGTTTGTTTGTTTATGGTTGATTTATTCTCATATTCGTTGTTGATCCAATTTATCCACTGTAGGTTTTTACTTGGGGTTATATTTGGGGGGAAATTATTTCATTGAATATGATTTGTATAAAGTATTAATAGTGATTCTCTTCAGCTCATCAGTTGTCCATTGTCCCCCTGCTGCAGCAGGGCGCCGCCTGTTTGTTTGCTTTGCAGTTCACCCAGCTACTCCTGAATCAAAGCGACACTAAATCTAATTTGCTCAATAACCCCTTAAAGAAAAAAACCCTGTCCATCTTGGAGATAGATTTCTGCGGAAGAGGAATAGGGCCAATGAAAAAATTAAAAAAAGTTAACTGATTTTCAAATATTATTTCAGTTTAATATGGGATAAAAGTCAGAATTTTGACTTTAATCTCAGAATACTGACTTTTTTTCTCAGAATACTGACTTTTTTTCTCAGAATACTGACTTTTTTCTCAGAATTCTGACTTTAATCTCAGAATACTGACATTTTTGCTCAATATTCTGACTTTAAACTCAGAATTCTGACTTTAATCTCAGAATTCTGACTTTAATCTCAGAATACTGAAATTTTTTGCTCAATAATCTGACTTTAAAGTCAGAATTCTGACTTTTTCTCAGAATTCTGACTTTAATCTCAGAATTCTGACTTTAATCTCAGAATACTGACTTTAATCTCAGAATACTGACATTTTTGCTCAATATTCTGACTTTAATCTCAGAATTCTGACTTTTTTCAGAATACTGACTTTAATCTCAGAATACTGACATTTTTTTCTCAGAATTCCTATTCTAATCTCAGAATTCCAACTTTACCGGTAATCTCAGAATTCTGACTTTTTTCTGTCAGAATTTTGACTGAATTCAACCAACATGTTAGCTTTTAGCCATAGCCGTGTCTGTTTTAGAGACTAGCTGTCTTCTTTTAATCACCTTTTGCTCTTCCATTAATGAAATAGCATCACAGGGGACCGCTCTGGCACGTAAAAAGTTGCCTAATTGCATTACTTTCCACCAATGTGTTACTGGCCCTCTCAAAAAACTCACATCTTTGTCAGTGAAGCTGAGTGCTCCCACATCTCTTCCTTCATGGTGCCCATCTACATTAAGATCCACAATTCTGAGATTAAGTCAGAATTCTGACTTTTTTCCCCATATTATACTGAAATAAAATTAAAAAATCAGTTAATTTTTTTTGTTTTTTTTCAGTGGCCCTAATCCTCTTCCGTAGATTTCTAAGTGCTGCCTATGCAGTTTTCCAGCCCTCCACCCTCTCCATCCTCCTCTGTGACACCAGAGTCCCAGGATCACATTAACCACTGCATATTCAATGCCTATGTATTATTAAGAAGCTGTAAGGGAGCAGGGTAGCCTGCCTGGTTTTCCAGTGTTTGTGATACTGTGAGATTTACCACTGAATAACTTTGCAAGGCAAGTTCTCTTCCTCTTAATTTTAGATCTTCAAAATCATTTTTCAAACTACAATGGTTCAGTTTACAATTATATATTATGATATAAATGTCTTTTGCACACGCTGTCAGGTAGGGATGCAACAAATGTTTATTTTGCAATCAATTGATCTGTAGATTATTTTTTTTCGATTAATGGACTAATAATCGGATAGCCAAAGATCCTTTAAATAAGACTTTTTGCTAAATTAAACCAGTTGAAACTAAAAGTTTTCCAATTGTTCTGGATAGAGCATATTGACAGATGGAAAATATTTTTTTTTAATCTTAAATGCAAAATGTTCATGTATTTTTTTTTTACAATTTTGGTATAATTACAGCTCTAAATGGGTCGCTCTGTCACCTAAAGACATGTTTCAGAGTCTCTATACTCCAGTTTATGATGAGTCGATTACTTAATTAGTTGAGGATTATTTAATTGATTTGTTAATCAATAACTCATGATTAATCTGATTGTTTTAGCCCTAGTGATCTTTGCTTGCATTCGGTTTTTATATATATTGTTCCAGTTGTCAACAAATGTTAACTCAAGGTATTTTACAGGGCAAAAGGCTCCAATTTATTTTGACATTTTGATTTGATCCCAGATTGACTTCAAATCAACATTTTGTGTGAAAAATGCAACCCATTCAGATTCTGAATCAGTAAGACAATTGTCTATTCTAAAATGCAATATAGTTATATCCAGTTATAAACATTTGGATTATTTGATGCCAGTTGGTAATACCCACTTCATTGTTTTGCTTATTAAACAATCACTGATGCAAGCATGCGGCATGTATGGGAATTATATTTTTTAGTACAGCGTTTTAATGTGTTTTTTTAGATCATCAGTTTTTTTTTTTTTTCTTCAGTTGTTTGCTTTATCTCACATTCCTCTGCATTGTGAGATAAAGCCAATTTTCACCCTCCCTCTCTAATTCCCACCCTTATAATGTCACTGTGAGTATTTCACAGCTTTTGTAGAACATATGAACAAGATGCTGGTGATCTGTTAAGAGATATATTTAAAATAGACTGCTGCAGTTCGGCTCATATTATAGGATGCATACATTTCAGGGAGTCTGGAATGACGGTTTTATTGTTTTTTGTTTTTTATGAAAGAAACATGTTCTTAATTCTGTCTTAAGTGACTCATCTTAATCATAAAGAAAACGTTTTCTTGACTTGGTGCTCTTTGAATCATTTTTTTTATCTCCTATTTAAACTCCAAGTCAAATCTTTAACATCTAAAGGTTAAAACAGTGTCGACGTATGCTAATGTGTTCCAGATGTGTCATTTGGAGTGTAAATATACAGATTTATTTCAGAAACAGCTTCTTGTACTTCTCAAGTTAATGTTTTTCACAGAACTGACATTGATCCCTTTATAGCCAGATATTTCTCTTATAGATTCACTTCTCTGAAAAGTTTCCAGTAAAGAGTTGTAATGTTTTATGTCTGATCCCATGACTTACAATGTGTTTTATCACAGTAATAGTGTTGCCGCTTTGTCTTTTCCCTCATTTAGCCTGTGCTGTATCAGGTGTGTGGAACTGCGTCACTGTAAACCCTTTAAACATCGCTGCTGGAGTATGGATGGTGTAAGTCCCTTAATTATTACACATTAATCTACACCTTTAGATTTAAAGTTTTTTTGGTTTTGTTTTTCTTTCTTGTTTGCATTTGCTGAAACTAAAAAATATTTTTAAAAGAACTTTTTCCAAACATTTACTTGTTCTGTACATTGCCCTAAGGGCTCAATGTTTAGGCGTCTCCCCTGCTGCCTGACTTAAATAATGGGTGATATACAGGCTGCGGCAACATTTAATAACATGCTGAGAGGGTAAAGCAAATTATTTAAATCAAATGTTCTGCTGCAGATACACAACAAAAAATAGGAAAAAGCAGTTGGGCCTCTTGTATCTAAATCACTAAAAAGAATCACAGAAAATCAAGTTATGTGGCTCAGAAGAATGGACAAAAACATTACAGGTTCAATATCTGAAAGCCTGGTAGAGACAAACCTATAATATATGCACCAATAAAGGTGGGTCTAAAAAAATATTTGGTCCTTTTATAAAAAGCCTTCCCAAATATTGACTCCTTTATGTCTATTTGATGAAACCCCCCAAAATACACAGATGTTTGTGACTCTAATGTGACAAAATCTAATATGTATTCTTAAGGTACTTCTATGTAATACATAAAATAAGAAATTGTTTCTGGCTAAAGTCAGAAAGAAAGCCGATACACACATACAATTTTATATTTCTATACATTAGGAGTTTACATTGACTCACTTTCATTTTAGCTGATGCGTTTTTGCCAGAAGGTTGGTAATTATACCACGAACAGTCCGAACTTGGTAACATTAAAAGTATAGTGGAGGATTTTCCTCCACTATACTTTTAATAAATCCTGAGAGGGAACACCTATTAAACGCACAAGAGAGTACACCTCGTCCATCCGTATTTAAAATTTGCTGTTTGCACCGCTCATACAAACTTACTTTCCAAAAGAAGACTTGAAATTTTTCCACTCTGCCAGACTCTCCATGCAGCATGTGTTACAGCCTTACGTAAACATATTACCAGAATGTTAATGAATAAAAAGAATATGACAATTAGGAGGACCACTTATTTTGATGATCCACCCATTAAAAGAACATCCTCCACTAAACCTTTAACAAGTATACATTGATTATTACTAATTGACTTTCAGATATTATTATATATTAATACTTTCTAACATCTGTAGGGGTGAATAATGTTTCTGTGTCTAAGATTTGCATCGGCTGAATAATTCCCTCCTCCGCTGTGTTTGTGGCCCCGTCCTTCTGTCTTAAGGTTGAATGCCTTCGTGCTGTTCCTTTGTGAGGTCCCATTCTGCTGCCAATTCATAGAGTTTGCAAACGCGATCGCAGCCCGCGCAGACAAACTCAAACCCTGGCAGAAAGCCCTCTTTTACTGTGGGTAAGAACAACCATCTATTGTCAGAATGCCTGATATCAGGGGAACAGAAATAGAAGTTATTTGGGGGAATCCCTGGTTTGCAGTAATTCATTTATATGCTAAGTTTGCTCAGCGGCCAACTTTCTCCTGTTTCTTTTTTTTTTGTTCTTGGTTCAGGATGGCCCTGTTTCCCGTGTTCCTGAGCTTCTCTTTTACGACCTTGTTTGGAAACGCCATCGCCTTCGCTACCGGCGTGCTTTATGGCCTCGCATCCTTAGGCAAAAAGTGAGAAAGCCTCTGGTTATAATGCAACATGCATGCAACACATGACAGAGTTTGTAATTAAACGTGCTGTTTTTATTTCCTATTACATCACTTTATAACAGGTATTTGCATTAAAAGCAGCTCACAACATTTTAATCCATGAACTTAAATGTTTGCCTGCCTATCCTAATCAGCATTCCTTTTTAAATGTAAACAGTTTTTAATGGAGTGAGTTTTGCACTAATTTCTAACTTCCTCTCATGCTTGCCCTTTTTCCCCCCACTTACTTTAAACCTGCTTTTATTACCAAACCCTCCTTCGCCTCCCGCCTCCTCCTTTCCTTCCATCCCAGGGGAGATGCTGTGACTTATGCCAGACTACAGCATCAGAAGCAGGGGGACGATGAGAGGATGGCAGGGACAGCAAATGGAGCTCCAGAGTGAGGCAGCGCCTGTTGCAGTGTTTCCATCGTGTTGTTTTGCAGTTTTTACTTGAAACTTTTCCCGCCGCCATCCTTTCGTTCCATCTGTCTGATTTTATTCTCCAACACTACAGAACTGTTGTAATGTTTATTTGTTTGCCTGGTCTGGTGCATGAACCCAGTAACATAAACATACCTTGATGGATACCAGATGGGATTTTTTTCAATATGGCTCAAAGTATTTAACTACAGCTATGTTTTAAATTCTCCATTTAGATAATAATCACCCATTATTTATCTCCAGTTTAAGTTTAAAATATTTGCAGAAAATTTAAAAATACTTCCTTGAAGCCTTCTAGTATAGGTATTATTTCCTAATGATAACGTGGCAGTAAAAGAGAAAAGGAAAGTGCGCATTCTTAGGGCAAACAGGAAGGCCCATTTACAGCAACACAGTTGCCTCACCAGCTGAAACAAATTTAAACATTAACATAAATATATATTTTTACATGAAACTTTCACCTTTCTTGGAACAAAAAGCCAGCTAGGGGATTATTGCGGTGGTTGAAATGTCAGGTCTTACAGATCCAGGCCACTCATACCTGCTGAAAGGTCTATTTTCATTTAAACTCAAGTGAGAAGAAATTCTATTGCTTAAAACTACTGAGTCTTAATAACTTAATAACTAACTACCCAAGCAGGAATGATTCCTGTCAGCAAATGCTCTGAAGCTTGGAGTTTATCCAGGCACCGACAAAAACGAAAAGGTCTGCCTTACAGTTTAAGCTAAACATTTATAGCAATGTATAAGTCCAGAAGTTTGAGGCTTTCCTTAGCAAAATAATCAATGAAAACACATAAGAACAATAAGTAAAAAGGTCAGTTTTCATAAATATTTAGGATGTGTGCAATTGCTTTATTCATTGTTGTGCTGCTTTTTTTTGTTTTTGTTTTTTTTAAATGACATTTTGAATTATTCAACCAAAACAGATACAATGGCCACCTTTTTACAGCCACCAATTTGAAATATGTAAAAAAAAAAAAAAAAAACGTAAATAAAATAAACTTAGAAAAATACGTCCTCTAACTAGACCGTTTATTTAGAGGTGGAGGTAAAATATCTATGGTAAGAAATATATATATATATAAATATATATATATATTTCTTTCATGTTCACTATTAAGTAGAAATCCATAAATTCTGATTTCATTGGAAATTGCATACTTTATTGCTTTGAGGCACTCCTCAAAATGATAAACGTGAAAACATCCTTTCTAGTAAGGCGGATATGTTTACACATAATAAAATAGCCCAGAAAAAAAGGCTTAATCACTAAATTTCAAATCTGTATTGGGAACATTTAAAAAGTTAAAAACTGGAATTGTGACAGAGAAGGTTTAATGAGGAACCACGTTTATTTCGCCACATAGTAAGGAAGGAGTTATTGTTTCATTTTTGTCAGGAATGAAAGTAAATATGAAGAAGGGTGTGTTTGCTGTCATGTAGCCCAGCCCGTATTGTGTTTAAGTACCATAGTTGTTTCCAACAGTGGAGGAATCTTAAGTTCACCTTATTTTTTAATGGTGTTTATTGAATGGACCTTGATGAGTTTAACTGAAAATGTTTGGACGCGGTTGATTCCCAGTGAGTTTAAACCCTAATTCAGCCAAACGTGGGGCAAGTAAAGTGAAGACAAACAAGGTAGAGCACAAGCTACTGTAGCTTTCTGGCATTTATGAACAAATGAAGTCAAAAGGGATCATTTTAACTTTGGGGAATGTAATCAGTATATCCAAAGATAAAAAAAAACAGATTTTTAAATTTTTGTGCTTTGGCATTTTTATCTTTGTTTTCTTTTAGTTGGCTTATCTGATGTAGTGTAGCTCAGCCTGTGTAGCCTGTTCCTGATTAAGGTACTGAATGTCTGGGTTTGGCAGCAGATGATCAAATGAACACGAATGTGTGCTCATTTTTAAACATTTTTGAATTATTATTTCTCTGTTTTTCTAAAAGTATTCCAGATTGTTAATAATTAGACTTTGTGTACATTTGAAGGAGAAGTTTGCGTTTCTTTATTCAGGGAATATTTTGGTCTGTTTTCCACCCATTAGCCAGAGTTTGGGTTTACCTTTGTCATTAGATTAGAGTGAGGCAGAATCGACACGGTTTTGTTGTTTTTATTGAAAACTTGGAGGCTAGTTGCATGTGTCTCTTACAGCCTTTTCCATCTTAACATTTATAAAAAGTCAGTAACTAATCAGATTTCATCTGTACCACCCTGGACAGCTCTCAGGTATCACAAAGAACTTCTTCAAATATGTCTGAAATGCATCACTCTAGCCTGTTGAAAAACTGGTGATGCGTTTTAAACACAGACGTGCAGCGTTCATGAATGTGTAAGCATTATTAATATACGGCAGTTAAAATACATACCACCACCACACCGGTCTTATTATTCTTTTGTCAAAATCTATTTTATTTATTGCTTATTTAATTCAAGCTACTGATGCAGACTCATCTATTGTCTGCAGACGTTTAATGCCTGTGTTGCTGTAAGAGATGTGTGTACAGTCAGTGTGTATTGTGATGTGAACTCTAATTTTGTGAATTAAACTTGCTACTACTACTACTCAGTGTGTGTTTTGTTTCTGTGAAGTTGTGCTTAAAGGTTTTATCAATTAAAGTAGAGACCAAACTAAATGTTAGATTTAACCTTACAGGGTAAATGGACTAACGTACTTAGGTGTGAAGTTAAAGCTATACAAATAGTTGAGCTAGAAGCAAAAAAAATGGGACAGAAGTTAAGATTCAGTGGAGCGTATTGTGGTGCATTGTTATTGATTGATTGACTTTATTGATCTCACAGTGGAGAAATTTACTTGTTACATTGGCTTAATAGTTAAAGAGGAAGAAGGTGCCAAAAGAAGGAAAAGGTGCATTGGAGTATATACTGTATATACAGTGTGTCCACACATATATGATGATTATTATAACGGGTTATTGCACAGGGTATTTACATGGGTATATAGCCAATGCACTAGGTATAAAATATAAAAACACGTTATTGCACAGGGTATTAAATAGTGATTGCATATTAGATTTTCCCAAAGTTATTGACATTATAGAGTCACATTGTAGAGTCTGATGGCAGCAGGAATGAATGACCTGCAGTGGCGCTCCTTTTTACAAACGAGGAGTAAAATTCGTTCACTAAAGGAGCTGCTCAGCTCCTCTATACTCTGGTTATCTGGACCTTGTCCTTGTAGAGAAGGGTCTTCCACCATGGTCTTAATTAGATGTATCCTTCAATGAACTGAACAGCTCTCCTGTGTATGGAAAACAATGCAAACCTACAGTTATATTCTGCATGTTTATTATAACACTTTGTATTTTCTATACACGACAAAATAACATTTTGGTTTAATCTGAGCAGTGCACCTTCTACATGTTTCTGTTCCTCCTATCATGTATTGCATAAAGCAAAATGCAGATATGAATATTTTTCCCAGGAGGTTTATTTTAATATTACAGGTTTTAATAATCCTTAGACTTAGGCAACTTTTATTGTCCTTTTGTACACACGGACTGTATGCAAAAGGAAATCTCGTTTTGTACAGCTTTCAGACAGTAAATGAGCCGCAGCTTAGCAGTAATCCAGCCAGAAAGTGACAATATTACAAATGGTTTCTAAGGAACACGGTAACTGCAACCACTTCCTACCTTAAATAGCAACTTGCAGCATAAGTGCTCTCTGATTTTTTTTTTTTTACTGGGTTTAAGAAATACGGTATGTTCAATCTAAAGGTAGCCAGTACCTATTGTTGCAGAAATTAAATACAGGACCCTTATTTTCTTTAATGTTTTGCTGATTTTTGAAGAGATCTGAGGTGTAATAATACATTTGGACCAAAGCACATTAATAAAACATCCATCCTATGCTTCTAATAGGTTGACCCGACCATAGCGTGCCATTTATGGCCCTCAAAAGACATCCGGTTAATCACAGTGATGTATGACCTACTGTTGGAAAAGAGCAGCGGGATCGTTTCAGGGCACAATGTAATGCATCACGAAAGGACAAAGCCTCTAACTGGTAACGTGAGATTGAAATATGAAGGAGGGCATATTGGGCCAAATCATGGATTATTAAAATTTTATTTTTTTTTTACAAAACACAGAATATGCTCCAATTAATAAATCAGTCATATGTTGTGCTATTACTATTTGACCTCAAAAAGTTTAGTTTGTTTTTAACATCTCATTTGTTTTACAGAATGAGTGCTATAGACCAATGGATCCTCCTGTTGTTTCTGGCCACAACCAAGATAACAGCTTGTTTTACTCTGGTAATTAATCTAATAAGAAGATACAGAAGCTGAGATGTACAGTGGATTCATTAATGAGAATTAGCATCTTCATATGATTTATTTCCCACTTGAAGTGGCCGTTACTTTATTTATTTTTTACGGTAATTCTAAATGTTGGTAGTTGTAGGTTACATGATGTTACTGTAAACACAGTAACGTCATTTAAATCTGTACTATAAGTGAATAGCATTTGATTTTTAGATTTGCTTTACATATGTGCAGCTAATAGACACTTATTTGATAAAAAAAAATACATAAAACAGAAAGGAATCCTTTTTTCTTAGTAAAACACTAATTCCTTAGGTCTTGTAAGTATTTGTTTGGTTGACAGGGTTATCAAATTCAGGCAATGTACAGTTATGATATTTGAATACTAATGTCATTACACGCTAAACTGTATACAAATTAGTAATTGTAACAAAACAAAAATTAACTTTTCTTTAAAGATCTTTGGTTTATTAAAACCCTCTTGTTCACCCAGATGTTAAAACCATCTGATCTTCATGCAGTTAAAATGTCTCCTACATCTTTTGATGAACAGATCTAATTTGGAATGATTAGTAGAACACCTTTCTAAAAAGATGCAAAGTAACCTACTAAACACACAATTTTAAAACATGAAATAGCACTATAGATTTCAGTCAACTTTAGAACCAACAGGGGGCGCTCTATGTAAACTTCTGTAGGTCAGAACAGTGAAGCCATTCTCCTGCATCAAAATAATGGGATGATAATCATCACTGATGTGTTGTTTAGTATTTATTCAAGCACCTGCAGGTCTGTATTGCGTTACGACATGTTAGACATCATCAGCAGCAGCTGCAGCTTAATAAAAGCAGAGCAAGAATCAACTCGCCATTTCTCCCACTTGACTCTCAACTTTACTGTGCATAAAAAGTGACATAATAGTCATAAAAACTTATCCTAACACTCACACTAATGGCTGTAAAGGGGTCTTATGGACTTTCTGAGGGAAAACGCAAAATGTACGTAGAAGTTTTAATCATTTCATTATAAAACAAGCCTAAGGGTATGTGAGTTTTTTTCAGAATGAGGAAATAAATGTATTTTTTCCTGTCTTATTTGATAAAAGACAAACAGCAACTAGTGCTGGAAATATAGAAGACAAAAAAAAGTGACAAATCCTAATTTTACTATCAAGAAGCATTTATATGTATTGGTTTTAATTATAGAGAAAACCCTAACCCTACCCTCCCCTCTGCAAAAGAGAAGCAGAAAAAATATATCCTACAAACGGCACCTGCAGAAAACAACAGACATGTAGAACATTAGGAATTTTATTTTTAGTTTTTTTTTTTCAAATTCATGTCCTTTTATAATCTTGTGCTTCAGGCATCCAGATAAACAAACAGAAAAAGAAAAGAAAGCAGAGATTAAATGAACTAAACAATAGTATTGCTGACATTTTTTAAAGAAATGTAGAATTTTTTCCCCTTTAATTCTAATATGAAAAAATATATAGATTTTAAAAACCAATATAGCTGATGCACTATTTTTATTGAAGTGTTTCCACTGTAACAGGCTTCTATGGGTTTTCCTACGGTTTTCATCTTGATAGTATTTCACACCTGCTCAGACCACAATGTTTCTAGTCACAGACAAATGCTAACACGTTATGCTGTGTGCAAAAGTTAAACTTTGTCACATCAGATAACATAATGTGTTTACAGTAACGTCTTGTAACTCAAAAGGATAAATATTTACAATCCATTCAACTAGTACTGTCAACAGGTCTCCTACCTGAGCTCGTTATCTCTGCGGCTCCTCCAGAGTCACCATATACCCTCCAGTTTTTCTTTTTTTCTTATGCCTTTGGTCAAAACATGTGAAATTTTACTATATTCAAGTTTCTCAATCATTTAAATCTCTCCCAGTTCACCATTTAACACTACTTATGCCATTAACAGAGTAAGCAGTAACATTTAACTCACTATGTTTACTTTAGTATATGATTTTGATTTAAAAAAATTATATTTTAGGAGTAGCTTTATTGCACCATACTTTACTTTTACTTAAATAGATATCTTAATAAATGTCACTACTCTTACCTGAGTAAAATGCACTTTCTCTGGATAACAAAAAGCTTATTTTAAACAATAAAGCTCCATACAACACCCCACAGTCTGTCTGTCTGTCTATCTATCTATCTATGGTCACATGAGGTACTGGTTTTATAAGTTTAATTTTAAATAAATCTTTTTTTAAAGTGTGTCTTTGGCCTGGATTTCTTTTTTTTTTCTTTTTTTTTTTTTACATATTGTTTAAACGTTCAATAACTACATTAGTCTTTGAAAAAAAAAAGAAAATAATTTGCTGTTTTAAATCTTTCTCAGTTTTATTGCTCAATTTTAAATAGTAAATCAGTTTTACCAAATGCTTTTACTCTCTTATAAGTAGTGCTACTATTAGAAATGCTACCCACCTCTGTTAATCAAATCAAAACAAACAAAAACAAAACCACGTGGATCAAGGTGCATGGATACTTTTGCAGGGCCCTGCATATCTGGGGACTCTCACATATCTGCAGAATTAGCCTCCCACGGTAAAGTCAGCTGCAGACTTCTGTTTTTCACCTCCTGAGGGGAGGACTCACTTTGTTTGCTGGCTGTCTTCCCAGCTCCCGGTTGCATCATGCCTGGGAACTTCGCTCCAATGAGGGAGTCGCTTTGTGCTTTGCAGAGGGAGGGAGGGAAGGAGGGGGAGACGCTCAGCTCGTCTGCAGCAGGAGCTGCGCTGAATCCACCAACAGGACTCTGGATTTATCACCTGCGGACAGATTTGTCCTGGGAAAGAAAGCACAAATACTGCCTTTATTTGTTTGTTTGTTTTCTATTAGAGGGGTTATTGTGAAATGATACCCTCTTTGATTTTTTTTTGTTTTGATTTGTGTTTGTGTGTGAGAGGGAAAAAAAAAAAAGCCGCGCAGTTTTGTCCTTCCTGAGGTCGGGCTGTGTTGGAGCAGAGCGCAGCGCCATGGGAAGCCTTCCCACCGGGAACAACCTGCGCGGCGCGCACATCCTGGGGCTGCTGTAGCGTTTCTGGATCGATCCGCTTAGTTTCTGTTCAGTGTTTTCTTTGCATGAGGGAAAGGAGTCCGGGATGCCCGTGAGGAACAGGTACAACCTGGTGGACGATGTGGCGGACTCCAGGCTGCCGCTCCACAACGAGGAGGCTTACCAGCACGGGATATACTTCCAAGCCAAGGTGAAATAACACGATCCAGTCATTGTGTCTGACCACACTGACTATTTCTCTTTTGTTTTTGTTTGTTTTTTTTGGCCACATACCCGTGATGTGTCACCATGTGTTAGTGGCAGGTGTATACTGGGCGGATCCATTAGGAAGTTTGAACACATGGCATCAGCAGCTCCTGCTTTATTCCAGGTTTATCCCAGAAATCATCATCATTTCAGATCCCAAACGCAGAATCAACAGCAGATCTGACAGATGAATGAGAGAACCCATCTATTTAAACTAGTCCTGCCCTTTATTTGCATTTATTTTTTCTAAAAATGTTTTTTTTATTTACTCAAATTAATAGGACTGATAGGGAACAAAATCTGTTTAGAGCTTTGTAAACATGGCCTCATTTTCTTTTAACATGAAACCATCCAGGGAACTAAAACTGTATGCAGGGAGTGTGAGATTAAAGCTTCTGTTAAGTCTGGTCAGCTCAAGGTCAAGGGTCAGATATTGCAGAGTTATTAATCCATGCAAAACACTGTTGTAGAAACAAAAGATTATCCACTGTTAAGATAAAAAGGACTTAGTCCAGTTTCTTGTTTAGTGAAAAGATCAACATTTTCTCAAAATGTCAGATGCTTTATGCCTTTACAGAGTTACTCTTCGCTTGCACAGTTATTTGTCTTAAAAGTGAGGACAGAAAGGCTGTGGAGATATTTACAGACAAACTGCAGTAAAATAACTTCTCAGTTTGTCTTGGTGAGATTAGACAGCATGTTTTCCTCTATGCAGCCTGCAAACAGTTATGGAACTTTCAGTGTTGCAGAGAAGAGAAGCCCGCCCCACCTAGAGTCTCATAAGCATTATAAAATAAATACATGACATACAACATGTAATCATTCATTGTCATTAATTCATGGAAAGCAAAGGGTATTCCAGAAAACAAACTAGAAACAAAATTTTCCATCACTTTATGTTTTTTGAAATATATATAAATGTATTTTTTATATTTGATGTATTTAATTATATAGTCTATATATTTCCCTGGCTGTTTTCCTGGTTAACTGGACCTGTAAATAGGATAGTAGGAAAACTGAGAAGATAAAAGCAGCCTTATAGGAAACTAGTATTTGTTGAACTTTGGACCTGTACCACTCCCTTGTTTTAACGGTTTCTTGCAAGGCGCTCTTTGTTGTTTTACAATAAAGATCTCTGTGAATGGTGTCCACAGAGAAGAGGAACTGGGGGTTGGAATGGCATCCCTATAAATCCACTGGCTCTTTTACCTTCTGACCTTTCATTACATGCATATCTACTGTATGTACAGAGGACAGTCTGAAATCCTCAGTTTGTGTTTCTCTAGACCAGGACTCTGCAACCTTTCTAATCCAGAGATTCATTTCTTCAGGGCCACTAATCTGTAACGGTCTTTAAATAAAACACAACTTAAAATAATAATTTCTTTTAATATCAAGGGGAATGCTGTTGCCATTTTAAACAAAAAAGCAGCTTATTTTCTGTTTTCAAAATGAGGACAAAGCATAAAGGTTCATAAAGAAGAAGCGTTGATTTTGGATTTTGCTCTATAGGATATTATTTTATGTAAAAATTAAACAGACCAAATGACGAGAAATAGATCTAATAACATATTCCAGATTTTTTTAGTATCAATCTGTAGTGAAAATTATTTTCAGATAATCTTTAAAACCTGGCATTTTTTATTTTTAGCCAATATTAAGAGCCATTGCAGAGGCACTTGCAGCTCATTAGCAGCGCTTTGCAGACCCTTGCTCTAGCCTTTAGCAAGGAGTAATAGGGGCATGGGTCCACAAAGGAACCAAATAGGTTTTTTTTCTATTTTATTTTAAAATATGCTAACTAATGTTTTACAATCGACTCAGACTGACTATGCTTCTGTCAGAAGAACATTAGATTGGACACCCAGACCAAGCTGTTTATTTTCACAAACCAAAAATAGGAAAGGTCAGCCACCAGACTTTCAGAATAAAATCAACACTTTAACTTGCCAACTTACCTGACAAGTGGAAATGAAATGGCAAAAAAAGGAACCAGTGGAGTTACTGGGGGATGAAAAGGCATATTTCTAACAAGTTCTGCTCTAGAATTCCTTAGAAGAGCAGAGACTCACTTAAACTTTTGCTTTAGTATTTACAGCTGGGTCAGGCTAGATGCAGTTCCATTGGGACTAACCCTAGATCTATTGGGACAAGTAGACAAGAACTGCAGCCATTCCCTAATCAGTGTGAGCCTTGCCTAATTTATTAGTTAATCAGTTAATTGTTATAGAAAAACTCAAAAGAAATACTTGATTGTGTCCAAACCCTTGACTCTGAGCCAATCAGACATAACTACAAGCTTTGAGGCCATGATGCACGCTGAAACATTTGATGAATAAAGAGATGGGTCGCATGGTGCAGGAGGAAGGTCCCGGGTTCTGGGCCGAGGTTCTTTCTCCATGGAGTTTGCATGTTCTCCCAGTGCATGCGTGGGTTCTCTCCAGGCACTCCGGCTTAAACCCATAGTCCAAAAGCAGGACTGTTAGGTTAATTGGCTTGGTGTTGAGAATGTGTGTATGGTGGTATGTCCCTATGTGGCGTCCTGCTGCACTGGCAACCTGTCCATGGTGTATCCCGCCTTTTACCTATAGACTCCTGGAGAAAGGCATCAGCCTCCATGACTCTGGCAGACTGCTGCTTATTTGATTGGTTTATCAAAAGCTTCTCATTATTTAGATCATAAACAACTTTGTATATTAAATAATGAACAAAATTACCATAATTTTTTTTTTAGAAATATGGGTTACTGTACAACCAGCTTTCTCCATCCAACAGCACTTGCATAAGATAGAAATCACATATTTGTGATGAAAGTTGCTGTAATGACTCAAAGATTATCAATGAAAAGAAGTGAATGGATGCAAACAGGAAGTCTCTAAATATTAATCCGCACAGACATATTTTTTTACCAAGGCAGTGGTTTCGGATTTTCTGTTCCCAGACCATTTACTGCAATCAAAATAAGAACAACATCAAAGGCAGCGTTTTCTCCAGGGCTGCTCATGAATTTAAATATATGCAAGCTGCAAAGAGCTTACTAATAAGGCAAGGCTGTGTCCTCTTTGCCACACTAAACCTATTTTTGATATAGAAACATACAGATTTGAGGTGATGCAAGAAGAATCATCATCTTATAGTGTATTAAACAAGTTGCTCTCTTTCGAAGGCAAAATCTGCAGCGATGCTGAGGCTAATATGATTAGCATGTGTGGTAGGCACAGAATGGGGAATGAGAGATCTGCACTCACGGAGCATTTCGTCAAATTTCTAAGCTGTAATTTCAAATGAAAGTCACATTTGAAGGAATTGTAGATGGCCGAATGACATGGAAATCATCTGAAAAAGGGTAACTTCCTTATTTCTAAACACATATACCATTATTTATTTTTTTCCCAAAGAAAGAGGTTCTTTTCCAAATGCAAAATGTAGTGTCCACCACATTATTTGGAGGTAGCTGGCTAATTGGAGCTTCTCGTCATACGAAAACCTTGAGTAAAAAACATAATGATTTTAAATATTTACCACAAAATTGAAAAAGAAAACACTATTCAAATACTTTAATGTATCTATATATTGTTACATAATCAATTATATTACGTTAATTGTTATTGATTGATTTAAAAAAATGTATACTAAATAATTAGATTTAGGACACTGAATGAACAAACAAATGGAGTAACCAGCAACTAAAGAAGCTTATTTAAAGAATATAGTTTCCTTTTCAGTAGTTTATTTTTAACAGAGCAACAGTGGGAGTCTACCAAGAGGATCAGCTGGTTAATAAACTCAAGGTATCTGATCATGTAGTCAGCTGCTAACAGCAATTCAAATTAGGGCTAAACAATTTTGCTCAAAATCCAAATTGCGATTTCACCAATATAGTGATTGCGATGTTATTGCAATTTTTACTTTGCACTAAACCCAAGCATGGGTTGGGTTTAGTGCAATCTACTATGGTCGAGGTTTGACAGGACCCAAATACAGAGACGAAGCTGAAGGTGGTTTCTTGCGTATTTATTTATCCAAAAAGGCAAGAGAAGCAAAAATTCAAAAACACAAACTAAAAGTAGCTCATTTTAAGCCAGCTGGGTGGAGCATGAGGTGGGGGCTTTGCAGAGCTGTCTTATTACATCTATATCTCACTTCGTGTAGAGCTAGAAACAGAAATTCTGAAAAAAAAATATACAGATTGAATTAACAACAAAATGAAACACTTAATCAGATTAACTTTGTTCTCTGAAGTATGATCTGAATGCCTGTCATGTGCATTTTCACATGGAAATAATTGGTTAAGTCTGACCAGCACAAGGTCTCTTGGTTAATGATATTGCTTTTAGGTTATTAATTCGACTTTTGCACTGCCTGGATCCTTGAATAACCAATGTTGTGTTTCTGTGCCACAGTACGTGGGAAGTCTTGACGTGCCCAGGCCCAACAGTCGGATGGAGATCGTGGCAGCTATGAGGAGAATCAGGGTAAGGTCAATGCTTAAATTAAACTTAAGAAAAATGTGGAGCCTAAAAGGATTTGTTTATAAGTCATCCAGTGGTTTTTTACTTTAAATATTAAATTTTTGGGCTGATTTTTGACTTTCAATTTTAAGGATCTGGATTGCTTTAAGTGTTAAGGGATCGGGTTTTGCCCCCGATGGCAACACGGTCTATTCTGCTCCAGTCGTCGCCACCCTCGGTTTTAGTCCTAATTTACACTAGTGTTCTCTCTTGCGAAGTCTTAAGATGCTCCAAGACTCACTAAAGAACCAAAAGCCACTGATCAATGTGGAAATTAGACCACATTGGTGTTTCTTTTTTTCTTCTTTTTTTTGGCATTCAGATATTTTTTTAGAATCTTTGTTTTTGTAAGGAGTGAGGACATTGAGTAAACTTTAATGTAAATTTAATGTGTATATTATGCACAACAATGGGTTGCTTTAGAAAGGGGCCAATAGGAGCCAGGGAACCTATAGAAGGGATCCTGGCCCCTGTACAGAAAACAAAAGTTGCAATAATTGTTATTGTTTCAGTTAAGTGTATTGTCCCTTGATTTAAACAGGGAGGTAAGACAAATTGCCAGTGGGATAAGATGTTTTATGTAAAAAAAAAAAATAAAATAAAATTTTCTTATAACAGTAAAACTACTTATACCTTTTGCAGTCATGTAATTTACCAGTCTGATTTAACGGAAAAATACACGTATTTTTAGAAAGATGTCGTTACAGGATCAGATATGGTGTGTAATACTAAATCAATTTCTTATGTTGATATATACACTGAGAGAGGAGACTGTAACCGATTCACCCCTTAGACCAATTTGATATTTCACCTTTACAATTTTTTGACTAATCATTCAAAAATTACACTCAGCTTTAAGCTTAACCTGCACATGTTTTTATACAGCTGAAGCAAGAAAAGCTTTTCAGCAATAAACCAGATAGAAGAAATCAAAATGACACAAGTTTTATTGACAAGTCAGTCAATCACTTAAATTTCTTATTTTAATTGAAGCAAAATGAAATTTTCCTTCATCTGTATTTTTTAAAAGATCTTGGTATTTATTTTAAATCCTGAAGAAGAAATCCATATATTTCCCTGGACGATTTTTTTATTGTCTGTGTGTATTTGTTACACACAGACAATGTATTGCTGGATCATTTCTTTAAATTGCGTAAACATACTTTTATTGTCAGTAACCTGGGTTACAGCATCTGATAACACGCTTTGTCATTATATTTCATGAGGGGCAGCTTAAAAAAAAATAAAACATTCTTGCTCCTATGAAGTCCTTTAGGAAATGCTGCGTGAAAGAGCAGTGAGACGCTTTTAACATTAACCCCTGTAATCACACAGAATAAAAAGCGTATGCTGTCAAATGCATTTTGTACAGCCGGTTCAGTGATGCATTCACTGACCGCTGAACAACAGATCACAACGCCTGAAAGCAATTCAAAGAGGCCTTTTTATAGAAAGGCAACGGGCTGAGAGACTCAGGTGGAATGTGTGTCCCTCTGAATTACTGGATGAAATGTGTCTAGGTATTTATTGTAGGTTTTGATTAAACTAAGTGTTGCTAATTTTTATTGCACCCTTATCAGTTGATAGTAAGATTTATTTACAGCCTCTAAGTTGTTTTTCTCTTATGAAGTTTTCATTTGCTTTATGATATCACAGAAGCAGCTAATCTATTTCTCCTACCGAAGCAGTAGCTAGAGAGGAAACCGTAGACGGTTCTGTAATTTATGTGTGACTCGCTTGCAGACAAGCTTCAGGAATCACAGCCTTCCCGGATCGGACTGAGCGAGCATGCAGGAAAATAAATTTGCAACTTTTCTTTTGATTAACAACAACGTCTTAATGAATCATTTAGTACAGACCCAACTTTTTATGCTTTCTTTTTCTTTCTGCACCATTTTCAGTTGGTCTGTTCTTGATTTCTGGATAGAAATGAAATAAATGACATGCTTCAGATAGACACTAAGAGAAAAGAACAAAAAAACATAATTTAAACTGCGGTCCAGCAGTTATGCTTATGAGGCTGGTAACCCCACTTAGATAAGCCCTTGCTGCAATTTGTAACGCAGAACGACTTTGCCTTAATGAGCTGATGAAAGAAGTAACGTCCTGTGATGAGTATAAATGATCTATGCAACTAGAACAACCCCTAGTTTATTAAATTGTCTTTTTGACATGATCTCTGCTGGCAGTGATCAAAGATGCTTATTTATGGATGAGGCTTTTTCCTTTTATCTGTACCTGACCTGTTTAATTTTTAAAATCCTCTTCTGTGTACAGCCTTAAATGTCAGATATAGAACCAGCTTTACAGGACAGGGATCCTTTGAAAACAGGATTTTTCTTCAGTGTATGTGAACAGGAAAATGTTGTATTTACCACCTCTTTGTGCACAACACTAGTAGAAATGTTACAAAATATGTAATTTCCCTGCTGCGCCAACAGTAGGTGGTATATTTTTTGAAAGTCACCAAGCTTATCCCGATTTCAGGCAAATTGTGCAATTTTGCGGTTGATATAGATGGTAGAAACACCAAAAAAAGTGTTTCTATTTTTAACAAAAAATACACTGTGTTAATAGGGCCTTAGTTGCATAAAGAAAACAGCAGTTAAATAATTTAAAAAAGTATACAAATTGCTCATGACAGTTTTTGTCTACTCACAGCAGCAAACTTCAAGGTATTTATTTGGATTTGAGGTAATAAGCTAATTATATGATATGATGATATGATAGGGCAATTCTACAGGTGCTGGTCATAAAATTAGAATATCATGAAAAAGTAGATTGATTTCAGTAATTCCATTTAAAAAGTGAAACTTGTATATTATATTCATACATTACATACAAACTCATATATTTCAGATGTTTATTTTGTTTAATTTTGATGATTACAAATGACAACAAATGAAAATCTCAAATTCATCATATCAGAAAATTAGAATATTACTGAAGACCAATAAAAACAAAGGATTTATAGAAATGTTGGCCAACTGAAAAGTATGAACATGAAAAGTATGAGCATGTACAGCACTCAGTATTTAGTTGGGCCTCCTTTGGCCTGTATTACTGCAGCAATGCGGCGTGGCATGGAGTCGATCAGTCTGTGGCACTGCTCAGGTGTTATGATAGCCCAGGTTGCTCTAATAGTGGCTTTTAGCTCTTCTGAATTGTTGGGTCTGGTGTATTGCATCTTCTTCTTCACAATACCCCATAGATTTTCTATGGGGTTAAGGTCAGGAGAGTTTGCTGGCCAATTAAGAACAGGGATACCATGGTCCTTCAACCAGGTACTGGTAGCTTTGGCACTGTGTGCAGGTGCCAAGTCCTGTTGGAAAATGAAATCTGCATCTCCAAAAAGTTGGTCAGCTGCAGGAAGCATGAAGTGCTCTAAAACTTCCTGGTATGTGGCTGCGTTGACCCTGGACCTCAGAAAACACAATGGACCAACACCAGCAGATGACATGGCACACCAAACCATCACTGACTGTGGAAACTTTACACTGGACTTCAAGCAACGTGGATGAAGTGCCTCTCTTCTTTTCCTCCAGACTCTGGGACCTTGATTTCCAAAGGAAATGCAAAATTTACTTTCATCAGAGAACATGACTTTGGACCACTCACCAGCAGTCCAGTCCTGTTTCTCTTTAGCCCAGGCAAGACGCTTCTGACGCTGTCTGTGGTTCAAGAGTGGCTTGACACAAGGAATGCGACAGCAGAAACCCATGTCTTTCATACGTCTGTGTGTGGTGGTTCTTGAAGCACTCACTCCAGCTGCAGTCCACTCTTTGTGAATCTCCCCCACATTTTTGAATGGGTTTTGTTTCACAATCCTCTCCAGGGTGCGGTTATCTCTCTTGCTTGTACACTTTTTTCGACCACATCTTTTCCTTCCCTTCGCCTCTCTATTAATGTGCTTGGACACTGAGCTCTGTGAACAGCCAGCCTCTTTAGCGATGACCTTTTGTGTCTTGCCCTCCTTGTGCAAGGTGTCGATGGTCGTCTTTTGGACAACTGTCAAGTCAGCAGTCTTCCCCATGATTGTGTAGCCTATAGAACTAGACTGAAAGACCATTTAAAGGCTTTTGCAGGTGGTTTGAGTTAATTAACTGATTAGAGTGTGGCACCAGGGGCCATCAATTTTGAACCTTTTCACAATATTCTAATTTTCTGATATGATGAATTTGAGATTTTCATTTGTTGTCATTTGTAATCATCAAAATTAAACAAAATAAACATCTGAAATATATGAGTTTGTATGTAATGTATGAATATAATATACAAGTTTCACTTTTTAAATGGAATTACTGAAATCAATCTACTTTTTCATGATATTCTAATTTTATGACCAGCACCTGTATATGTTCTATTATTCCACCAGTAAAGGTCTGGAAAGAGTGAGGTGCACTCATTTCTAGGTCCTTTAAAGTCAAATCATTACATTCGATAATTCAAAATATCATAGTACTGTGTGGGAGAGAGCTTTTTTTTTTTTTTTCTTCAGAAGGACAGATAAGCGGGTCTGAGGTTATAAAAAGATGGATGGAGCCAAAAACGTAGCAATTCTGGAAGGAAACCTGTGTCTGCAAAATATGTGATAATGAGGAGGGATTTCACCTTCAAGCAGGAAAATAGCATCTGTATTAACCCTGTGGAGCTGAGTAAAACAGTATACACCTTTCCTTAGAACGTTTACTTTCAGCTGGGCTATTAAATAAAAATGTGAAATACACAGAAATTTGTGCTTTTAATATGATAGTCCTTGATTTGTAATATCCGGCTTGTATAATTGATAATGCACTTGTTTAATTTAAATCCGATTACAGCACTTTGCTGAATGTCAGAGAAAAAATTCTCTCTCTCTCTCTTTTAGATTTTTTCATCTGTGAGGAGAGTTGGCCTACCTGCCTTACTCTGCTTGCAGGCTTTAAGTGTCGGCTTAATAATTTATGGTTTAATATGAGAGTGGCACGGATCCTCTCATCTGGTTGAGTCTCAGCAGATCAGCAGCCATGAGCATATTTCTTAGTGTCCCAGTGCAACAACATTTAAAATACACATAGCTCATTATA